CTAAAATGGTCATACTACTACCTTTCTCATCAGTGACACTAAGAGACTGAAGGGGAACTGCGGGTTTATAAGCAAGAACTATTGATTGATATGCAAATTTTTGGAAGTCAAAAAGGAAACAAAAGATAGACAAGTCAAGACAAGGATGATGCAAATTAGTGAAGAAGCTCTTGTTGTTTCAGAACAGGAGCTCAAGTTTTGTCTGTCCTTGATGGGACCTGAGGGTGAGTTTGTTAAAATTGAAAAGTATTGACTCTGGAGCCTATTTTTACTTCCGCAAAATTGCAGATTGTATAAATTTTTCTTCTGCAATCTTGAAAATCTATCTGCAGATTGCAGACTGCAGACAGGTATTTCGAACACTGTAATGATAACACATACTTAGTCAAACATCAAACAGTGCCAGTCAAACATTCTAACATTCATGTTTTGAATGCGTTTCTGACAGGCTTTTAGCTAGGGGGGTGTCCAGGGTGTCTTTTGGACGCCCTGTACTGAAAATGATAAGAAATTGGACGCCCTACTTTTTGGTAGGACACCCTAAAGACGCCCTATTTTTCCCACTCCCATGCACACATGCCTCCCTTCAGCCTTACTATAAATACAAAAATGGTTTACTGATGGAAAAAAAAACTCACATTTGCACCTCAAAATGCAGAAAGTAGTGTTTGAGAGCATTATGAATTTAAAGAAAAGCCCCCCTAAAAAGCTTGCGCACAGCGCGTCTTCACTATGCATAGCATACAATTAAAAAAATGGACACCCAACAAAAAAATCCTAGCTAAAAGCCTGGTTTCTGATGTAAAATCATATATTTGACCTTGAGTGGCAACAATACTTTCATATGTCAAAGAGCGCTTTGAGGTGTCCATTCGTCATGTTTATTACTGTAATACATATACTTACTAAATATTGTATTCTAGTGTTGTCCTCTTGTAGTTGAGTTTTTCATTCGCATGATGTATATTTATTATCAGTGATTTTACCAGCAGAGATCCTGATCAAAATCTCTATCAAAATTCAAAAGAAATTCCAAACAGGTTTTTTTTCTGGTGATTTTTCACATTAGGCCACAGAAAGTAAATACTATGGATGACATCCTCCAGAGTCCAAATCTAAGGGACTGTACGATATTTACCGGGGAGGGGGGGCCGGTCGTCCGGGGGTAGCGTAAAAATTTTTTTCCTAGGCCCTCCCCCAGGTCAAAAAAAATTTTCCTAGGCCCTCCCCCCGCCTCAAAAAATTTTTCCTAGGCCCTCCCCCCGGCGTGAATCATAGAGAGTGAAATTTCGTATGGGGAGGGCGAGATTTTGATTGAAAATTGTCCCTGCATGAAGCGCCGAAGGCGCGAGCCATCGCGCCGCAGGCGCCACTAGAGCCCGAGTAGGCCCGGCTTTTGGGCGGGGGGGGGGGGCATGTCCCCCCGGAAAAATTTTGAATTTCAACCCATGTTTTGCATGCCGTGAGGGGCAAATTTGGCAGCACAAATTTCGCTGGTACATCGAGCTATTAAAGTCAGTAACGTTACGGTCAGTCAGTGTAATCGAAATAAATCTAGCCTACCTTTCGTTCACGAACTTCTTCCGCGTCAATTAGGGGTGGGTACCTGTTCGGCTCTTTCAGGTCCAGGTCCAGGTCCAGAGGATCAGGTCCAGGTCCGGACCTGTACCTGTACCTGATTCTGGATACCGGAGTATCAGTACCAAATAATTTTTGCTAAATGATCATTGCTAAATGCTTAAAGTAACCACTACAAAATTTTTTATTTATTTTTTTAATTTTTAAAATTTATCTTTTTTAAATTTATATATTATTTTATCCTATTTTAATTTTATTTTATCCTATTTTATCCGTTCTATACATTATCAAGCTTCTCCTCTTGTCCTATAGCTACTAAGACCTCAGAACCGAATATATTAATACATTACACTTCCCAACCAATCACATCGCAGGATTTTGTGCATTCGCCCCCTCTAGCGGTTTGGGCCAAATTGCAGGTCCAAATTTGGGAATCCAAGATGGCGGCCGCTCGGCACAGTTCAGAGCCGATTCCCGAACTTTCCTTGTATTTTCCTTGGTATTTTACGCGATTCAAGCAAAGAAAACAAGTTGACCACAAGAACAAAAGAGTAATACAGCCTTGGGAACCTAATGGTCCGTTTTGTTGGGTACTAATTTCTCATTTCGAGTGAAAATTTATGTGGGGCACAGTGTGACCATGTGGTCAGCTTGATCGATCCGAAGCAAACGCAACCTGTAAAGTTCTCTTTTATGATTTCTAGATGACTATTGGTAATGAAAATATGGAGAATATTGTTGCAGAATGAGAGATACGGAAACTAAGGTAAATTTCTTTTATTTTGAGGCTGGATTTTCATTTTCCTGGCTGGCTTCTTGTATCTAGTGATCATCAGTAACTGTACAAGTTTAAATTTTTGTTCCGGTCCAAAAAACCGGTCCACTGACGTTTCGGTTTTTCGGACCGGACGGATAAAATTTTTGCGGTCCGAACCAGTCCACCTGGACCGGTACCCACCCCTAGCGTCAATTTTATTGCAAACAGGAAAACAATATTGCCAAGTTACGTGTTGTTTTCAATTAACTTTGGAGGGACATAGATATAAATGTTAGAATAGTCCTTGGTTTAAAAAAATACCAAATTAATCCGTCGACATCCGACATCCACGCCGAGAAGTTTGAGCGAGTTGCGAGGTGGGACCAGCGGGTCACCTTTGCCGACGCACGCACACCACTGGGAAGGGTGCGTTGAACGGCGAAAATTAATTTTCAAAATCTTCCGACAAGCCTTCCCTACATTTTTGATCGGTATCCTTTCGATAGCCGCGATTGACATGACTTTAATCCATGTAATTTGGCTGTGTAGTCCAGTTTCGCCGATTCTGGCGAAAATACAAGATTTTGAAGAGGACTGTGGGAGATTTGGGCGAATACATTTATAATAATAGGGATGGATATTATTGGAACGTAAAATTCTGCCGATTCCAATGACCGGCAAATCACTACGATATGTATGGGACAGACGTTAATCTTGTTTTGAAAGTGTATAAAAACGTTGTAGAGTTGAAGGGATCTTGGAAAAATTTTTACCTAGGCCTCCCCCAAATTAAAATATTTTTTCCTAGGCCCTCTCCCCGGCTCAAATTTTTTTTCCTAGGCCCTCCCCCCTCAGACGACCGGCCTCTCCCCCCGGTAAATATCGTACAGTCCCTAATGCGATAGGGCGAAAAAGAACAAGGCGGGCCAAAAAAAAAAGATTTCTTCATTTTCAAATTCTGACATCATAAACCTTGTCAGACAAGAAATTATACCTATATTTGTGCAAAAAAAATAAGTTAATTGCCAACTGTTACAATATCCATTTCTCACTGAAACAACTTTAAAAAGTACATCACTTCATCAAAGTAAAAGACAAAAACAACAAATCAGATCCTTATCTTGTCTCCTCTTTTCATATTTATCCGCCATCTACTTTCCAGCATGGCAAGACAGACCATTTTACCCATTTTTGGCATGTTGACCACTGTCAGGGCAACAAAATTTCCTTTTTTTTTTCAAAATCAGGCAAAAATCAATGCGGGCGCAGATGTCATCCATGAAAATTACTTGCTGTGGCCTTAGTGAACTACCTGACATTGAAAAGCAAGACAGAAAACTGAGACATTGATTTTTTGTTTCAATGATTCATCCACGTGCCCTCACTGCAGTATCACTAGCCTTGCCCGGGGGTGAACTCAGACAAAACCACTCTGTTTCCCAATAATCGAATTTGGAACTGATAGCAGGAGTCCATTTTCTTGGACTGGTGCTCCAGGAAATTTGTGTGCCATGCATGCAAATGTTGTACTTCCCAGGCAGTGTTCTGGCCAAGGCCTTTTTAGCATGGGGGCCCCCATGCTATAATTTTGACCCCAGTATGCTGTCTTTCAACCAGCATAGGGAGTGTTTTGGGAAGGAGAACCTTCATACATCTTGCAAGAAATGAAAATATAACTTTAGAATTAAGCTATGGCAAAGATAAAACCTTAACTTCAAAAAATCTGTTCCTCATTAAACAAGAAATAGTGTCTCAGGGTTATGAGTTTCAAACTTTTTTGGCTCAATGTGTGATTTGCGCCATGAAAGTTGCTCTTCTATTCCTGACCCCTATACTATATGAAAAAACCCTGGCTAGAACACTGAATCCAAGGACAAGCCAAATGAAAGCACATCCTTATAGTTTTAAGTTCTGTTGAAGACAAGTCGTGATGATACAGAAAATTCAGATGTTGGTCAGGCATCAACAGATTTTGTGTAGTTGAAAATGTTATCTAACATCATATCTAAAAACTGTACTTACTTTATAACAACCTGGTATTTTGTCCAGGTTGATATGGTTTCCCATTGTCCTTGATTGGAAGATGTTACTTTTGTTTCTCTAGCGTTCATCACTACACAAAGGGTTGATTAAGGTTGATGGAGGTTTCCATGGTGAAAAACTGTCCAAAGCAGAATGTCCTTCAGTGACAGTACATCTAATAGCAGAAGATGAAGGGTCAAAAAACCTGATAATAGTGGTCAGAAAAAGGGTTATTTCAATCTTTGATGTCTCTGAGTGGTTGCTAAATGTAAAGATTATCTTTGCTTGTCATGTTTAAAAACATTAGTTTGATTTTTTCTTGATTTCAATAACTTTCCTTTAATTTTTATCAAGTGTGCCCTTCTTTTGCCTGAGCTTTATGTCCTATCGAAAGGACGTCCCTAACCAAAGCTAGGTACTCATTTTCACCCAAGTTGATTGAAAATATAGGTGCAAAGTGACTTTCCCAAGGGTACAACACTAGGGCCTGCTAGGGATTGGAACCCAGAGCCTTCCGATTCTGAGTCAACAACCCTAACCACAAGACCACCTTGTATTATAAGGCAAGAAGACAAGAGCTTGGTAGGTTGTGTTTGAGGGTATGTAACCAATGTTTATCTTTTTCCCCTCTCTTGTCCTGCAGGTAACTCCCCCCTCCCCTTTCCTTTTATATCGTGCCCTATTTTTTGGCTTGTTGCGGAGGACAGGGTAGAAAACTGGACGGCCCGAGCGGAGCGGGTGTGGCCTCTCGTCGTTCTGCAGGAGGAGGGAGTGAGACACCCCGGCCGAGCGGGCCCGGCGGCTCTGGCAGCAAAGGTGGTGCTGCGACACCAACAGCCAGGTACGGCGGACAATACAGGGTTTTACTGGTCTGGTATTGTGGTGTGCACAGTGTTCTAAACATTATCGTAATACAGTGTGCACAGTGTTCTAATGTGCAGTGTTCTAAACATTACCGTAATAACAGTGTGCACGGTTTTCTAAGTGTACAGTGTTCCAAACAATACTGTAATACAGACAAAAACATAACCTTAAAACGGACACAAATTTGGCATATCAAGATATAGAAAAAGATGTTATTAAACATAAGCTAGACTAAGCTTAGTCTGACAGCAAAATTTGACATGTGGAGCGCCCAAAATTTAGGGTGGTGAGAGGGAATGCATTTTGTCCGCCATGAGCTACAAAATTCCAAAATATTCAAACAAAGACAGAGAAGGATCCACTTCTATATCTGTATATAATATCTTTCTCTTGCTTGTCCATCTTACTTTATTCATCAACATAACAGTGAAGGGGTCAGCTAATGGTACTTTGAAAGAATGTGTGATAATCCCTGTGAACATTTCACTCATACCTGCACCCCCCTCCAGGAGCGGTGGTTCATCCCCAGCGATCCCAAGATGGATACCTCCAAGCAGTACTAAGCGAGACGTGCGCACCCAACAAGAGAAAAATGAAACCACCTTCAGGAGAGTTCGTGGGTACGTCTGTATTGATTGCTGTTTATTTTTAATATTTAAAAAAACAAACATTTACTGCCTAGTGCGTCCCCTATATTCCAATTCTGGAGCAGGAAAGTTTGACATTGCCTACTAAAACATTGAAGGCAGTTACTATTGTCAATTTGTTAGCTGTTGCAGGTGTTCCAATGCAGTTGATTAATGATCAAGTTATCTCAACAGCCAATCAGCAAGAAGGGTGTTGATCAATGATCAAATTATCTCAACAGTCAATCAGCAAGAAGGGTGGCTAAGCTGTAGGTTTGCATATCTGTCTGGACAGAGTATGACAGCATGTGGGTGGGGGAAGATTGACAGGCAGAACGACAGGGGGTCAAAGGTCTTTTAATGATCTGGCAGGGGGAGCCGGTAGGAATTGTAGGGGAATTCAGGAAGGTTTGTTGAGGATTTCATACTTTCTCAGAACTCTCTGATTTCTCGTTTCCCAGTTGAATCGAAAATTTGCCAGAAACACGGTGGTAAAATCTGGGTTGCAAAGTTCCCACATGCCATAGAACCCGAACTGTGTTCGATCGTGTTCGATCTGGGCAATTCGAATCGAACCCGCGTTCTATTTCGGGGTCACCTGCGGTCATTTACAATAAAGCGGCAAAACAAGCCTTTCTGCCTCCGTGCCGTGCAACAGATAAAAAACAACACTTTTCTATAGATACAAACAGTTTCGTGGACAATACATGTCCGCTATCATTTTTTTGTGGACATGTAACATGAAGCGAAGCTACTGTCGTATCCTTGGGTGACCTTGAATACTGTAATGATTCTTTACGCCAGTATGAATAACACAATGCAGACTTTTGGTCGACATGACATGTCTGCAAAACTCGTTTTAACCTGCAAGCATGGAAAGTCAAGCATACCCCATTCACGGCTCAAAATGACCGTTACGGTTGTCCCGAAAATCGTGTTTTAGGGATTTTATAAAAATGGCCTCAAGTTTGAAGTATGGGTAATTTAGTGCGAAAAATGTAAAAACAAATCATTTTTTCACCAATATGTCGACAAAAACTAGACTTAAAATCAGAAATTAAAAAATCCCTAAAACACGATTTTTGATCTTATTCCTAGTCGTCGAAAAATATAAAAATCGGTAATCTGGGGTAATATACGTAGCCAGGTTAAAACGATGTTTGCCTAAAAACATGACATGACTTGTGGTCGGAAACCCGAAAAAAAATCGTCTTTCGCAGCGAAATTTTGAAAAATCAATGATTTAACATAAACAGCTAATATTGAAAGAATGTTAAGGCAATAATTTCATTTTAATTTGACGAAATTTACCATTAAATCCTTTTTGTTTATTTTCAAGTGTTTCACTGGTAGGCCAAAATCGGCCAAAATAGCGTCTTGTAACCCGATACCTTTTAGAACGCGCCTCGCAATGGGAAAGAATACCGTAGTGACAGACCGCCGCGAAAATGATGCCCTCTGAAGTGCACCATTTGAAAGTGCATTAAGTACAACTGAATGCTGGTAGCAGCTCTACACCTTCAAATTTACATAAATCAGAGTTAAGCCTACATTAGCTTTTCCCCTAGCTTGAATTTGTTCTGGGAACTCTGACAGGAAGCACGCTAGACTTGGACCAAGGTCAAAGCTTTCAAAGCACGCATAATTTTGTCCCCATGGAGGCTTTTTGTGGATGCAAGGAGCAATATCAGGGTTCTCACTAGGCTGGTTTAGTACAGGGCCCCTTATACTATGATTTAAAGCAGCATATAGGGGCGTTTCTTTTTGGGAAAACCCTTTGCAGTGTTCTAGCCAGGTTTTTTTTCATAGCATAGGGGTCAGATACAGAAGACTGGAACTTTCGTGGTGCAAATCATGCATTGAGCCCAAAAAATTTAGAAACTCATAACCCCCTGAGACACTATTTCTTGTTTAATGTGGAACAGATTTTGTGAAGTTAAGGTTTTCCCTTTGCTATAGCTTCATTCTAAAGTTATATTTTCATTTTTTTGCAAGATTTATGAAGGTTCTCCCAAAACACCCCTATGCTGATTGAAACTTAGCATAGGGGTCAAAAGTATAGCATAGGGGTCAAAATTATAGCATACGGGGTGAAAATCATAGCATAGGGGGGCCCCATGCTAAAAATGCCTGGTTAGAACACTGCTTTGTCCCTTCATAACTATGGAACAGACAGAAAACTATACAAAAATCGTCCCTCAAAAATCAGGAAATACTGTCTCAGACTCAGAGGGTTATTTACAAGAATTTTGGAGAATATCCTGGAGAAAATGGTGACACAGCTTGTTTAATTATTCAGATGTTGCTTTTTTAATTTACAACTTAGTACAAAAAATCTAGTAAAAAAAATTCAGATTTTATCCCTGTAAGTCACCTATGCTGTGGCAAGTCGCCAATATCTAGTCCACAGCTATTTCATGGCAAAGTTGCATACTTGAGTCCAAGCACGTTTGACAGCCCACTTTATAGAGAATCTATCAAAAAGCAGTCTGCAATCCCTCATCCAGACTACATCAGGGATCGACCGGCAAGAATCAGAGGAAAAGGCTTGTCGATTAAAATAACAAATTAAATGCACCCAAAGCGAGATTTCAGGGCAGCAACACTGGATTTTCAAAAAAAGAAAATTTTCTGGTCAATGTCATTGTTTAATATCTTTTACTAAGTTGAATTAATGCTAACCATTGCACTGTGACTGATATCTGTTAGGTAAAAATGCAATGTTGCTGACGGAAAGCATTTGCTTATTTTGTATCATAGGCTGGCCTATTTATTGGTGGTACCAAAAAATAAAGTTAGTCCTTATGTAACTTGTTTGTAGAGCTATTTCAAATGCTTCAGTTCTTCAAGTGTGAAATGATGGTGAATATTTTATAAGAAATGGCAGTAAATGTCAACATCAGACAGATTTCCTCATCCAGAAAATTAGTTGTTTTTTCCCTCTAAAATTACATTCAATGCCTTTAATCAATGTTTTTCTTGCTATTCTAAATGTGTAGGTGGATTAGTTATCTCTCCCCCCCCCACTACCAGTAATGATTTGTCCCCATCCATTTGGCCCGTAGGCAGGTAGTCATTTGTTTTGGTTGGATCAGCAAGTCAAACATGATAGCGGAAGCTATTTTAGTGTAGGTGAATTAGTTTTCTTCTCTCCCCACTACCAGTAATGATTTGTCCCCATCCATTTGGCCCGTAGGCAGGTAGTCATTTGTTTTGGTTGGATCAGCAAGTCAAACATGATAGCGGAAGGTTTCAAGGTCAGGGTGATTACCGCTGGCGTTGACAGTGACCTTCTCTCCGGCTGGTGTGACCTTTTAGGATACGAGCTTGCTATAGGAGGGACTGTAAGGGGTTTATGTAGGGAAGATTTCTCTTTGTGCCCCCACTAAGATGTAAGAGGTCCCAAATACGCAACCTCGGCATGTATCACATTGAGAATTTTACAGAACGTTTTCATGGGCAAGTGCACATGGGCATGTATGCAGTAACATAAGGCCACACCGACTTAACTTTATGGATGACATCCGTGCGCACATTGATTTTCACCTGTTCTCAAAAGAAAAAAAGATTACGTCCTCTGGCCTGGCTCAAGGCCTGGGTATTCCATGGTAGTTAGCGAAAATATGGAGCCGTCCACTGGGCAGGCTACCGAAGCTCCACGACTCTAAAACTCAGTACATACGTACATAGCTGCATGATTAATAAATTCTGCAAAAAGGTTTGTATTCCTGTGGGTTAATATTATAATACTTTATTTAGCATGTTTTTTGGCTGGAATTTTTGTTTTTTTATTCGCCTGGGCGCACTAGTTTGGGGGACTTCAGAGGATGTCATCCATAAAATTAAGACGGTGTGGCCTAACGGTATTTTACCAGAATATTGGACATATGAAAAGTCAGCAATAATATAGAGTTAACCTTTATTTGCTCAATGAGTACACTGTGATGGTTAACTTCTGATTGATTTGTGTGGAGTTACTCTGGCACAAGGGTCAGAGACATTAGGGCTCCAGAGCATCTGTTACCCTGCCAGCACTGCACAAAATTAGTCTGGAATTACATCCTCTGCTTTATACTTATCTGGTTTAGAAGTTGCTCTATGAGATGATAAAGCAATAATGGAACCTGTCTGACCTTGTCTAGAGTTAGAAATTAAACATTTATGGCATTCCAAGTCTGAAAGGGCATTGTGCACTGGAAGGTATACTATATATATAAGGATATTATATACAGAGAGAAAAGTGTAGTACCATTTCCTAAATATAAGGGACTGTACGATATTTACCGGGGGGGGAGGGCTGGTGC